CGCCGCACTTGCAAAGCGATGGGCGGAGCGTCGGTGGGGGGAGGCGAGGATCAAAGTACGCAAACACCGAGTCTCACTTTTTTTATACATCGAAAATCTGAACTCAATTCATAAAATCACCCGAGCGAGGCGAACGTCTGGAATAGAATCGAGTTGTTTTCATTTCGGATTCCGAGCAATTTAGTTTATAATAAACTGCTTACTCCAATTTCAATTCCCTAAAAAAACAATTCGAAACATCTGACAAAAACCGAAACTGGGGAAAGTTCCTCGATTTCCATGGAATCTCTAAATTGAAATCAAGGTTCCGACTGAAATAGCACAGGTGGCAAATTACAGAGACTATCTTCGAAATATTGAATAACTGTATTCTTGTCGGGCATAAACTTTTACTGGAATTCATAATTTTCACCTTGTCGCTGCAGATGTATTAGGGTTTAGCACTTCTCTATTAGCAATCTTATCTTGAACTCTAACACTGTTTCAAAGCTCAATTTATAATTAATACAAACTTTGTCCAACAATTTTATTTGTAACAAAAACAAGTTTATTCCTCGTCGTCGTCTCCGGCTCCATCTCCCTTTCTCAAAGTGCGTCGCTTGACGCGTCCTGGGCGGCCTCCTCCGTATGGAGATTGGAGAGAGAAGTCGATGTGCTTCTGGGAGTCCAAACGGACGATGAAGGATGGAACATCAACGACTTGTCTGCGGACACTGAAAAAACGAAAAATTTTATCAAATTATTCAACGAATTCAAAGCAACATTCATTAGAAGTTTAAATTTAAAAACATACCGGATGTGGTGCTGCTTGATCAAGATACGGGCGTGGTGAATAGACTTAGCCAATCCGAGTTTGAAAACTTGGGTCTGGAGTCTGCGCTCAAGGAAATCCTCGACCTTAAGTCCGAGAACGTAATCGAGCTTCATCTTGGTCTCGTCGAGGACACCGATCTTGACAAGACGACGGAGAAGGGCATTTCCTTCGAAAAGACGCTTTGGGTCCTTGTCTTCGAGAGTGAGAAGCTCACGAGCAGCCTTACGGACCTTGGCGAGAGTGTACTTGACACGCCACACCTCACGCTTGTTCTTGAGTCCGAATGTTCCGATGAGCTTGAGCTCCTGGAAAACGGTAATTGAATAAAAATTTCGGTTAAACGAGTTACAAACCTGGTCAAGGCGCTCCTTCTCGAACGGACGGCGTGGCGACTTTGTCACCTTGGATTGCACAGTCTTCAGACGTGGCATAGTTGAACCCTGAAAGTTAGCTCATCAAAAATTGAAATTGTGTGATTTTCGACAAAAAAAACGGGCGCCTGTTAAGAATTGAGATAAGCCTATCAAGAAAAGTACAAATTTAGGTTTTAAAACTTATTGATAGGATTTTCGCTCCAAAAAACCAATAATTTCCTCGGAAAATAGTAGAAAAAAATAGAAAAATGCGAGTCCGGCCTAAAAGACATACAGCGGCTACGGTCATGCGACGTTGCGAGACCCGCTCGTATAAATCGATGCGCCTTTAAAACAAGACGCGTCTGCGTCGACGCCGCTCTCCAATGGTTGCGTTCTCTCTCATTTTCTGGCTCATTTTTTTAGAGATTTATCGGATTTTTATGTGCCGAAAGCAATAAAAGTTGTTTTGCTGTCCCTGAATAACCTCTTGAGGTTTTTCAGTTCCCATTCTCAAAAATTTATTCAAAAAAAAATATTAGATCATCATGTAGTTTAGCGTTTTAATGGTTTTTTATCTGAGGTGGAGCTGTAAAATATGTTAATTACAATTTTTCCGTTACTTGCTCGTTTCCTATGTCGGTGAGAAATATCATGAAGTTTAATTTTATTAATTTCAGTGAAATGGATCTTCCTGACCCATATCTTCCAGGAGCCATTAGTTTGTTCGAACAACTAGACAAGAAGCTGTTGGTTGTGCTCCGTGATGGTCGCAAGCTGATCGGATATTTGCGATCGATTGACCAATTCGCTAACTTGATACTCGAGGACGTCGTTGAGCGAACATTCGTTGAAAAATATTTCTGTGAAACAGGTCAAGGGTTCATGCTGATACGAGGAGAGAATGTAGAATTAGCCGGCGAAATCGACGACAGTATCCCTACTGGACTAACACAGGTGCGTGAATCAATTTCTATGAACATATTCCTAGAATTTTTAAAAATTGATTATTTGAATATTTCTAGGTGTCACCCGAAGAGTTCCGTCGTATCGAAGATGAATACCTTGCAAAAAATCCTCCAAAATTCCTGAAACGCCAAGCTGAAAAGACAGAAGAACATGAAGCCTGAATTTCATTCCATCCTACTTTACGATCAAATTATTCTGTGTTCTGAAACTGTGATACGGGTTTAATCTCCAATTTCTTTTTTTTATTTAGGGATAACAAATCTGTTTCAAAATTTCCCTATTTCTTGTGCTATTGCTCTTCCGAAAGATTTTCTATTTTGATTGCCTCAGTAATGTAACTGAAAGAACTCCCAGAAACAAAGACACTATTGAAAACAACGAGATACAGAGAGAAAGTGAGAACCACAGACAAACGCTATGCACTCACAGAATCTCTATGCACTCAAAGAGACCTGTGTAACCTGAAGACTAGAAGAATACAAAACACAGATTTCCTATAAAACACTATTTATTGAATTTACTCAATAAACCACTATAAAACCTTTAAAACCAGTGAGCCACACTTTAACGGGTCGTCACCAATCGTGAGCGAACACCAGCGAAAACTAAAGAAAACGATGAGAATTGCCAAGAGAGGAGACGCGTTTTGGCGCGCACACAGTTTCGCGCGCGGATACAGTAATCCGCACCTCTTGCACGTGTGTTCGGGGGAGATTTCTCTCCTTTAGACTTGGAAAGAGGATTTTAAAAGAGAAAACACGGTAGAATACCGTACATTTCCGTCCATTTTCGAGTCCCCGTACGTGGCAAGAGTGAAAATGGTGGTTGCCTCAGCTCAATGATGAAAAGGCACAAAATCACAATTAATGAAAAACTGGGACGGGACCTAGAAAACTTAAAAGAATAACAACTACTTAAAACTCATATGGGTCGGGTATGGGATGGCAAGAAAATATAGAATTTAATGAATAAGAAACTGGGGTAATTAGCAAATAAGAGATATATGGGGGAAACATTTGGCAAGATTGTTACAATCATAAGATTTTAGAAAATTAACGAAATTTAGTGAAGGTGATGGCTGTAGCAACAACTTGGCTCATCAGTGCACATCAATAACGAAATTGGACCATGAATCCGTGATTGAACCATAGTGACTTTGTGACATGTTGTGGTGGTGGTGCTCTTGACATGGCGGATCTTTCCTTGGTCGGAAATTCTGATGCAGGTGAACTTCACGTTGCTGCGGTTGGGACCAGGGCTGGGAAAACGCCGGCTTTCCGCCGTCTTACAGCGCAGCCGAAAAACGGCGGCGAAACGAAGCGTTTTCAAAACACAGCCGCGCCGGCGGCGCTGGCGTTCATGCTGTGTGTGCGCGAATTAGTTCAACTGTGTTTTTACAAATATTTAGAACAGATTCTAATTATCATAGTTTCACCAAAAAAGAGTTCAAAAAATCTCATTGAATTCATAAATTAACTTCGCTTCATACGGTATCCGTTTTGAGGCGGCGCCTCGTAAATCGAAACCGACAATAGGAATAAACACCGTCTTTGTTTTCCAATTACTGATTTCCGTGGTGTCTCGCAATTTGTCTTAACAAAATACTTGCAACGGGCCGGGCAAGGTATTTTCAGAATTTCCAGGGCCCGGCCCGAACAAATTTTTCCTGTCTTTTCAAAAAAATTCTTCGGGGTCAACTGAAAAAATGGACGATTTTTCGGTCAAGTAAAAAACTTTTCAAGATAAAAGTGTCCATAAAAAAATAGTTTTTCTCACAAAAAATTTCTGTAATTTCAAAAAAATTTTAAAATTGGAAAACCCGGGCCGGGCCTTGGAAATCTTCGGCCCGGCCAGGCCCGCGGGCCGGACCCTGATTTTGCAAGTACGGTTAACAATTATTTGAACAGAACTGATCAGAGCATATATTTATTGAGCAATGTAAAAAATAAATTAAAACTTTACATAGAAACGGTATAATGGTCGTGGAACCCGTTAAATTTGCATGGTCTGAAAACTTTCAGCCAACCTGTGAATTGAATTGGAGACGTTGACTTCGTCTCGCCAGCTGAAAAATAGGTCTTTAATTTTTTTAAACATTACGCGAAAACTAACAGATCGAGGGATCCACCCAACAAATGTAATGCTCTCTTCTGCATCTCGGCCAGCTCAGTTGGTGTCCTCCGAGTAACATCTCGAACAGAATTCAATTGAACCTGGACGTTTGGATAATCATCACTGCTATTCAAACTGAGCTCCTGTTCCATTTTCTCAATAGTCTTCATAATCTCATCTTCATCAAGTTCAAGGGCAGTGTCCTCTCTTTGAAGTAGGTCGAGCACATTGAATGTTTTTTCGTACAACTCCGCTGATTCTTTGATTTGCATATCAGGCCTTAATCTTGTTAATAAAATAAGTTTTTTAGAACTATTCACTCACGAATCAACGCTATATCTTTTTAGCATGATACGTCCTTGTCCCACAGACATCACATCTTTCACCACTTTCAGCTCTTCTTCTGTTCGCAAATTGATATGCACCAATTCATAGTTACCACCACCGACAGAAATCGATAGAAGATCTTCGAGAGGTGGTAGAAGTGACGGTGCTTTTTGTTTGTAAGCAATCGGATCTTCACCTTCTTTCCTTGGCTGCAAAAATATCATTCAATTAATGACCAAAACATATTTGATATTACCTTCATGACTATCAAAACATCCACCTCAACGACACAACTTTCTGAAACATCATATGGAACAACCAATCTTGGCTCTACTGCCATACTCCAGAGAAAACGAAGAGGCTGATGATAATGTCTGGAATGATAACGATAAGACTGTGAAAAAAAGGGAAAAACTTACGAATTGTCCGAAACAGTCTGTGGAATAGCTGGATAGGTAGAAATGATAGTCAGTGCGATGGAGAGGTTATCCTTCTTGAACGCGTACCTTCCCTCTCCCATCATTAAAATTCCTAGTGCTTGATGAGCAACCATTTGCTCGAAGTGTTTCTTTCCGGTGGCCATCCAATCAGAGCTATCTGGTCTGTCACAAACACGTAGAAGTCTTGCGTATCGCATCGCTTCAACGTCTCCAGTTCCCACACGAAGCTGAAACAACATAATGCGACAAGAACCAAAAGACGCTCCTTACTATAGACATCGCAGTAACCAACATCGCAAACACACTCGACCGGGTATACTGTCCAGCGTAGTTACACATTCTCATGCTTCCTGTATCTTTTCTGGATTGACCTTCCGGCAGAACGACTTTAGTGTAGAATTCCTGGAAAAGATCCATAAGTAAAATGGATTATAACAAACAGAAAAACTCACAATAACTTTGAATGCTTCTGTAGCGAGACTATCCTCTTCAGGGCCACCGCACGACGAATATTTTAAAGCAATAGCCATGCAAGCAGCAGATACTGTATACAGATAGGTTTGCGAAACGGTACTCGTGTCGACCTGATTCCGCCAGTATTGCTCTTCTCTTAGATCCGTCGGCTCTTGAATATCTTCACCATCATCGTCTTTCTGTATTGGTATTCCGAAATGAAGAGCATTAACAGCATATTTCCCGATAACTTGCGGAATCAGACTTTTAACAAATTTCTTTGTTGGTTCGATTCTATCCCACATAATCAGACAATAGGCTAGAACACGAGCGTACATTGAATCAGGCTTTATCCGTTCAATATCGGTGATTGTGTTTGGGAGAGCCAGTTGTGAAGCTATGTACTTGTTATTAGTTTTCATAAACATCATTCCTAGAGCTAAAGCTGCTGGCTCTGCGGACTGATGAATATTGATGTTATCGTTCTCTTTAACATGATTGGCCATTTGACTTGTTGACATTAATCCTCCATTGGAAAATGGCAAATTGGGAGTGTCATTTACCACAATAGTGATTGTTTGTGGAAGGAAGACGCACATGTCCTGAAATCAGATCTTTGAAGAAACTTTATTTTCAATCTGAAACTCACTCTTCTCATTCCATTCATCATGTAGATCAATCTTTGAGACAATGGAGGAATATTCTGCTTGAAAGGAATCACACTTGTAGCTGATCCATTGCCTTTACCGAGCATGATCAATCCTAATGAAAATCCAGCACTCAATTTGTATGCAGATCTATCCGTCACTGGTTCCTCGTCTTTCGTTGCTGCTTTTCCAATTTCGTTGATCAATTTTTTCGCTATGTTCATATTTCCAGAATCCGCAAATAAGAGGCCTAGACCAGATATTGCAGATGTTTGAATAGTGTAATCAAGTCTGATTTCCAGTGGAGTCGGACCCATCAGGAAGCCGAGATACGTGGCAAGAATTTTGTGAATTTGATTGTCGCAAGTTGTAATATTCGAAGCGGACAGTCCAAGAAGCAGCCCAACCGAATGGAACTTATCAAAAGTGGAGAGCATCTGATGGGCATGATACATATTGAATGGAGCCAAGTGTCCGTTGAGACCGAATCCTAGAACTAGTCCACCAACAACTGCCGTTGATTTAATATTCTTGGAGACCATGACAATCCATTCGTTGTCGATCTTAACAGTATCACTCCCACCGATTCTTAGAGCTGAAGAAAGCGCGTTGTAGAAGTTTCCCCACTCGGTGTGCATTTTGAACTGATCCGTTGATGGTGGATCACATGAAACTCTTGATGGATACACCATGCCTCCAAGACAAAGACGCGGAATATAAATACCGGTGAGAAGAGATGGTACTGATGTTCGGAACTCGAAGAAAGCTCGTCCAAATGGTTGTGAGAAGGTGCGATAGGATGTTTGAGACAGGAAGCGGTCTTGCATTTCTTTCATATTGTCGTCGTCGTTTCTTCGACTGCAAAATGCAATACTTTCGAGTGGTAATTAATCAGTCAGTTAAAAAACTTACAGAATATTCGTGGCAATCAGAATAGGACGGCTTGAGCTGAGCATCAAGTGCACATTGTTCCTCCGAATGTCATTTTTCCAACGCAGTTGGGCAATGCTACTCTGTTCCTCAGGTGTTGCATAGATACACTTCTTCGGCTTGATTGAAGTAGCGCCTGCATAGGCATCTGTTTGAATTTTTAATAGGATGACCTTGATTCCAGGCACCATGTACTCCATAACAGTACGATCGAGTCTAAACAGAGTCATGATTTGATTCGCTCGTCCAGGAGCATTGGATCGGAAGTCCTTTTGGATTTTCCAAAACGCCTTCGAAGAATCATTGCACAATCCAAGACGAAGTTTCCAGTTGTTCCCGATCCATCGCTTACAATCCGCATCAGTTTCAATAAAGTTTCTCGATGTTGCGATTACTGTCAACAATTGCAAACTTTCTTTAGAAAGAGCGCTTGGAAGGGTTCCTAGATTTTCGGAAGTGGCCCTCTCAAAAATCACACGAGCAACAAGTTCGTTGAGTGACCAGCATGGAGCAGGAGGCGTCACTGTTTCCAAAAACTTCTGATGAACTTCGTCAGAAATTTGGTATTCAACACTAACACGAGTCAACAAAGTACGATACAATTCCGCATAGTATGCTTCGTATGCATGGAAGTTTAAGACTTTCGATAGAATGAATGCGTATGGCACCAGTTCCATCATAACCGTATGCATCAGGGTTTGAGCTGCCCAGTCTTCGCATTGAGAGTGAACAGCATCCAGAAGACTTCGTGCATGTTTCCTTCCCTCTTCGGTTGAATCAAGTTCGACGGTGAAACGACTGAAACAAATACGACTTAAAATCAGAACAGAACTCGATTAAACTACCATCGGACTACATTATCTGACTCCTTTTGTAGCTCACTTCTCGATGCAAATGTCATATCTTCAAAGTAGGTTCTCATCATTTCAATAACTTCCGCCTGGGACATCCGTGGTCTCATTTGTTTGCCTCCGTGGCCTTCGGGAGTATCTGGCCGTGGCTGATCGGTCATTTTGGACACTCGAACTCCAACTTGTTCCAACATGAACACCACAACTCCTACTAATTCTTGATGCTCGAAATCCGTTTTATTAACATCCACATCACGCTTGACTGCTTTCCATTTCCGAAGAACTTTTTGAGCGAATTCGCGATCTAGATGCACAAAACAAGTTTTCATGAACACATTTGCCGAGAGGCACGTGACAGTTTCCGGAATTTTCAATACAATACATCTCATATGATTCACCAACATAATTCTGTTGGCTGAAAACGGATGGAATCGGAAATCCAAACTATTCCGAGTGTTGCTGATCTCGTCAATGAATATTGGCGCAATCTTCTCACTTCCTCCATACATTGTAGTGGTGAATTCGGGGCCAAGCACAATAGTGACTCCACTTTTCAACACATATGTCGCCTCGATACAATCTACAGTAACCGGCTCATACTTTTTGGTGGTCAAATTATTCCGAGTTGTTGTCGCATTTTTCCAAACCGGAATGACCGTCATAGTTGCTCCAGCAGCAGACACCAAATTGAGATACATGTCAGAAAGAAAAGTGGATACAAACACTTTGTTCGCCTTCTCCATTGCACCTTGTTTCGGCTCAACGTATACACACTCCAGACACAGTTTTGAAAGAAGTAGATCAACGTCAGGATCTCGCTCCAAATCTCCAAAATCTACATCGTTCTCTGGATGTTGTGTGTTTTTGGTGAAGTTTCGTGGTGTGTCTCGAATCATTCTGGTGAAGTCTTTGAGTAGTTCGGCATTACTATCTCCTCGTCGGCACAATTGGCTGAGATGAGTTCGGTGGAATGGAGAAGCAGTTGTTTGAAGTCTAGCATAGGTAGGAGAAGAACTGGTACCAGGTGCATCGTCAATGACCATTCGAGCAAGTGTTCTGAAAAACATGTTACTTGATATTGAAGTGTTGTCTTATTTTAAGATACCGTGTATGTATATTTCGTTCCAGTCCTCCTCTTGTATTGACTCTTGGTGTATTCGGAGTGTGTCCCCATGTATGACCATCGTTATTTCCTGAAAAAATGCACTTTGTAGTTTGTCTTTTTATTGGCCTCATCACCTATTCTGGTTCATCTGGCACATTTTTACATGGTCAGCTAAAGTCATAAAAACACACACACACACACACACACACACACACACACACACACACACACACACACACACACACACACACACACACACACACACACACACACACACATGCGCAAACTCTTTTTTTAGTTTTTTGAATAGCTCAGACTAATCTCCGCCGTCTTTCCTGTACGCCTTCTTGTTCTTTTAGATTCTGCGTGGCTCGAAGACAACAGGCAAAAAGAGCACGGAATGCAAATGTGATTTACGCCCTCAGGGCTATACATATCTACAATTTCGCTCCTGCACAAAGTCTCTTTTGTCGTCGTGCTTACTTCTACACAGGACTCGTCCCTTTTCCACACCATAGGATGTTACGTGAATGGCCACAAAAAATTCGTTCTGAGCCAGATTTATATTCCGGCTAGAAGTGTAGTTTGATTTTCTTCAAATCCACAGCAATGTGTGCCTCTTTTCAGCTCGACACTTACTATCAGAGAAGGAGATCTAGAGTTTTGGTTCTAGGTCTACTATGGAAGATGCTCCTATTCAAAGAGCGATCAGATAGACGAAAGTTTTCATTTCTTCTAAAAAGTCGGGGGATCCCTTTTTCCAATCTTTGAAAGTGGTTCAAGGATATTCGCACGCCTATCCGATAGTCCTCTGTCTCGAAGCCTTTTGACGTAGGATAATCAAATATGGGATGTTTCAATTTCAAATTTCATTTACACACACTGCCCGCCTCTTCTTTCCCTCCTTAACCATAGAATCAAAGTTCGCGTAGCAGCCTTTCTATTGAGCAAAAACGACTCTAACAGCCGCCTCGGAGCCTCCGAGTCGGCGACAACACCCCCGAATCTAATAAGTCTTGCGTGGGATATTAAAGGAGCAGTCTAGGAACTTTCGTTCTTCATCATGTAATGAATGCCTATTGTTTTTCAATGTCTTACTATTAGATGCCCAGTTCTAGAAATGTGCAATTCGAGAATCGCTCACACCAAACTCTTGTTTCCGTTTTTTTCGAAAAGACCCGGCCTTCAGAACGCATGGAACATTGTCAATCATTTTTCTTATTTAGTAAGAGGCCTTCTTGTTTTTGCATGTTGGTCTTGGTATATGCTGACAAGCACCGAGGCGTTTGCGCCATTCATTTATTATATTCCGATGCTATTTTGTTAGACGTAGATCTGTATTGGGCTCTTTTGATGAAGCCCTCTACTGTTGACTCTTGCCGTCCGTCTGATACAATAATCTTTGAAAAACCAAATTCAGAAGAAGGTCTCATGCCACACTTCCCATCACGAGAAAATCGCATCTGAGTAGAATAAGAAGAAGGCAAAACTTCTGAAAAACTAATCGTCCTTTTTCTTCTCTTTCCACAATTTGTGTGATGACGTCCACTCAATTTTATGAGAAGCGTTTCATCTTCATCAGAGTAGCGCTAGAATACTTATCATTATGCACCTCCGCGAAAAGGCACGAGACCCCATGTATTTTCGTTTATTTTCACACTAATTTGCATACGGGAATAACTACTTCTGTCGTCTTCTACTTCCGCTCCTCCTCTCCCATTCTCCATTCATACTTCATTTCGGAGCAATAAACAGAGCAAGCCGATGGACAATTATATTATTTGATTCTTCGTTTTCTTCTCTCTTTTTCCCCCAATCAACTCCTTTAAAGGTTTTCAGTTTCCAGGTTTATCCGGACTATGCACATATCACAAAATGGGCAATCAGTCAGCTCGTCAGCTATCCACTCACAGAAAGCATGTCGTGCACACGTGGAATACAATAAACTCGCATGATCCTCAACTTCTGAATGATGCTATCAGGCATTAGATTCCTAACTTAAACTGAAAAAGATTCTTGATTTTCAGCGAAGCTTGGCTGAAATCCGCTGAGCTGACACCTACATGGGTGTGGGCCTTGGTTGATTTACCAGAGACGATGCATTCAAGATATAAGGAAAACGCACAGTTCTTGAACATCATAAATCAGGTCCGTGACTTTTTGAACATACTGATCAAAGTTCACAAATGCGATCCTGAAATGATCAAGACTCTCTCCTTCCGTCTCGGAGCACGCCATCGGTGAGTTTGTGAGGGATTTGAGGTCTACATGTAGGAAACGTTAAAATATTTATAGGCACTATATGAACGAAGGAAATGACAACTGTTATTGGGCGCCGTTTGCTCAACAACTTCCGATCGCCATGAGCAAAATGTACATGAGAGTTGTGAATGAGGATAGCAAGTGAGACTGAGTTTTGGTAGGATCATCAAAATGTTCATTTCAGAATTCGGAGGATACTACGGATACGTTCTCGAGCTGCCGAGAAAAGTGAGGAAGAGGAAGTTTGTGAATCTTGGAGACAGTTTTCGTGTATGCTAATTGAATCCATGAAACGGGGATATGAAGGATGTGCCAGTGAAAAAACGCCTCTTCGGTTAAGCATCACTAAGTGCGGTATTTTGTTATGGTAGTTGTTTAAGGACAAACGTTTCAGCTCAATCATTTCCATGGCTTCTATGCGTTCAACCCGTTCTCGGTCCGCTTCTCATTTCCTCGAACCGAATATGTCACCAGCAATCGGTGCGTCACAAGTTCATCATTCCAATTCGTGTCGTAGTTCCCCATCTTCGAAAAAACGCCCATCACCTCGTAGATCGCTTAGATAGATATTCACTCGCTCATTCTCACTTTGTTTTGTGTGCTCATATGTTTCGTATTCACTCTCTCACTCCGTTCTCACACTCACTTTTTTCAGTTTACCTATTTAGTTCGCCTATTCACCAACTAATACAACTATCTACTAATCGTTTGGTGTGCTGTGTGAATTCCGTTGTTTTCTTAACATTTCGTTATACTCACTTCCTATTCTACCCCCTTCAGCTCCCATGTGTGCTCTTCTGGGTTCAACAGAGAGTAACTCAACAACTACAACAACTCAGCCATCATCTCCCATCACTCCGTACCGACGGAGAAGTATGTTCAAAGCAGGAGGCAATCTTCAAAGGAACAGCCAAGATTTCACTGCTCTCCGGTAATCCTTCCAGACTCAACATTTTCAAAATTGATATTTTTTCCAGAAATAGACGAATGTCTTCTCCGAATAACCCATCAATTCTGCTCAACAATTGCGACATTCAACTTCTCAAGTTGACGTCTCAATTGAGCCCTCTTGAAGATCCCAATAAACAGAATCGTGTGTCAGGAAGAGCTCATCATCAGCGGCGGAGCATTACTCTTTTAAATTTCAAAGATCACCATAATCGATCTCGTTCTCCTTCTTCTTGATAAAGCGTTTTTTTTTTTATAAAACTTACCATCATAAATCGGAGTTGGGAGATTTCCAGGGAATCCACCGGCGCCCGGGTTGTTTGGAGTCGAGTGTCCGAAACTGGAGCGAATTTGAGAAGTCATTGGGGATCTCCCATCGATATCAGAGCTGATAACGTCAGAAAGAGCTGCCACTGAAATTTTCAAAATTTTCAGATAAACAAACTAAGTTGTATAAATTACTAGCAGGCGATCTGAGAGTGGGATCAAAATGGGTAGTTCTTCCAGCGGAATGAGGTGCCAAGCTTGAAGCGAACATCGTTGAATCGTGCTGCTTCCGCAAAGTTTCCACGTATCGAATCGCCGCATGCACTTCTTGTTCTTCTGTTTCTCTAGCCATATAGATACGATGCACCTTTTCTTTCTGATCGTATACTACCACAAAGTTTCTATCGGCATCTACGATTCCACCCTCGTCTTGATGCGACTGCCAGCAAAACTTCCATTGTGGATGGAAGCTGTTGGTTTTGTAAATCACTGGCAGCAGCTCTCCAAACGGGCCTGACAGTGAGTACAGGTGAAATGTATCATGACTGTGAAAATTTTGCTCAGTAGAAGAATCATAGAAGCGTTCAACGAGAAGGCTGGTAGCACAGGGAAAAACGTTCCGCACCTGAAAATTATCATAATAACGGATTCAAAGTGAAGGAAAACCCACTTTGAATGGAATTTCATAGTAGTAGAAATGATAATCAGGTAGTGAAATGAATTGCAATTTGTGCTCTCCACAGACAACCAAATAATCTCTTTGTTTGGGTCCCAATCCGTGATCCGGCGCAGTTGTCAGCTTTTCGGCATTCCTCGAAACCGTGAAAGTGTGGTAGAATACCTTTTTTACATCGAACTCCATTTTGAAACGTCTCTTGACTATCAAATCAACCGCCACCCCATCGCAAATCAGAAGGAGAGGACCACAAGAAAATACATAATCTGTGTGGTTCTCTTTGTTTGTGAAAGAGCAAACGAGCGTAGGTTTGTTGAGAAACTTTTCGTTGAGATCCTCCGGTTTGGGAGGCTCCTGCTTCTTGGAACGGTCCTTGCTGAGAGGTGTCCATTTGGGGAGTTCCTCGCGGTTCAGATTCAAAACTGTCGCTTGCTTTCCTTTCGTGAAGTTCTTCCCAAGTTGAACATCACAGTGTTTTTTAGCAGAAATCATATTTTCCGTGTGGCTGTCATCCAATTCTTCACTCATACAAATATTTTCAGGGTGAAGGAAACTGTAACGGTGTTTTAATGTCTAATTTAATATAGAGTTGGTGAGATGAAATAAAGAAATAAAGAGCATCAGAGAAATACTGCGAATAAGATTTCACAAGAAAAAACCTATGAGCAACAGATAGAACAACGTTTATTCAGAATTGAAATTCTGTATTCAGATAAAAAGGATAAAATGGATAAAACCGCATACTTCGGGATGTATTGATTCAGATCATGAATAAATTAAAAACAGTATTGTTGAGATTCGAAGATATTATTTGGAGTTCGAAAAATTCAAAGTTCCGATGTTCCTTCTTCTTCCTCGGCTTTGGTCTTCTTCTTTTCTTCTGCCGTGGTCTCGGTCTCTTCCACGGGACGTTTAGCTGGGCGACGAACCTAAAGAATGAATGATAATCAGAAAATTCGTATTCATGATTTTACCAAATTTGAGATATCATTCGCCTCTTTTTGCTCAGAGCTCTGTGGAAGTTGAGACATTAATGCGGCGAATCCATCGAATTGAGCCTTGATAGCTTCTTTAGTCTTCTCCATTTGTTCCGCAGACGATTTAGAATCAGCGATTTTGTCATCAATCAAAGGAACCATTTCCTCCAAATCCTTCAGTTCGTCTTGCATATCCAGCTTCTGTTCTTGATCTCCGACTTCTTTTAATTTGTTTTCTAAATGTTCCGATCGGCTTTTCAGGGTTTCCTTAGTCTTTTCGAAGTAATTGATAGCTTCATCATAGTTCATTCCAGAAGTACATGCATCTGCCATGAGGATGTAGGTTTGCGCAATCTTTCTCGAGTTTGATGGGAGAACATTCTTCTGAATCTCAAGTGCCTGTTCCAAATCTTCAAGAGCTTGATCATACTTCCCATCCGATACACTATGATCTCCGAGAACGACAAGGACATCAGCTAACTTAAGTTGCCACTCTTCAATAACACTTACTCCGCTTCTTTCTGCCTTCAGTGCTTCGATTTTAGCCATAGCGATGCAACGAGCGTTCTGAAAATTCAACATTTACTAATTTCCAAAGCAAAGTAAGCAATACCTCAAGAACTTCCCATGCAAGTTTCATTGTGTCATCGTCTTCCTCATCTCCTGATTCTTCACCATCTTCTTTCTCCGAGTTCTCACCATCACCCTCGCCTTTTTCATTCGTGATAGTTCCTGCTGCTGAATTCTGAGCCTCTCCGTTATCTTCTTTTTCGTTCGGAGCATTGAACACTTGGCCTTGAATCTTCCCCAGCTCCAAAGTTGCCATGCCGTAGTAATAATAATATTCATATGTATTTTCATGATCCGATCCATACAGCTCTACAATCATCTCCGATGCTTCGCTTAGAGCTTCCGTTGCTGTTTCATAATCACTGACTTTCAATGCACGACGACCAGCGGCCAACAGTTCTGCGGCGCGTTTCTCCCTGAAAAAAGAATTCTAAAACAGCTGAACTTTATAGAAAATACTCACTTTTGCTCTCGTGTTAGTTCGTCGTTTGCCTTCTCTGCCTCCATTACCTGGACTACGACTTCAGCGGAATCTTCAACGCTCATCTGGAAAAGAAAAGAGATTTAAATAGAAGGAAAATACCGAAATTCGAAGAAACGATAGATAAAAACAGAAATTCAATCAAATTCAAATGTGCGGGTTAGCCGACGAGAAGGACTAGTAATTTTCATGAGAACTAGTCCACAGCTAAACACGGCCGCGGGGTTGCCGCAAATCGGCACTTGTAAAATGTAGATGTGAAAAATATGTAGACGTGAAAAACATGTATTTAGATGTGAAAAACACGAAAATCGGTTCAGAAAAATGAATGAGAAGAAACAAATGTGTCAAATTTGGAAAGTGATTTGAAAAATCGATTTTTTTTCGAAAAAGTACAGTAAGATTGTCGCTTCGCTGCGAGACCCACATCAGTCTACCGAGAATGTTCCTTTAATAAATTATTTTTTCTTTCTTCCAAAATATTTTTTTATTTTCTGAAAATGTACATTTGGGTATAAAAACATAATTAGTATAGAAAATACTGAAAGTTTATTATTACATTAAGTTAAATACTGTTGCTTCCGAGACATGCGTTAGACTGGTCATAAAGTATTGTTAGTTACTGCCTGAAATAATGTTTTTTGGAAAGCTTAGTAATAAAATTTTAACTTACTTCTGTTTCTTTTTTTTCCGGCTGGACCACCACTTTTTCCACCAGTTACTGAATCTAGTCGTCGCTTTCTGCCTACATTTAGAACCGTTTTCGGTGGTTTCGTCAGAATGCTGCGGAGAACTGGATAGTCTAATTGATTCTGATCTGCAAGCAGAGTTTTCACTTGAGCTCTTAGTAGCGAGTGACTCCGAATCAGTCAACCCACTCTCTTTTTCTTCCTTTTTAATTTTGGCTTGAAAAATTGGACCTCGAAGTGGAGTCTTCGGTCCTTCCGGATATTTACACACTCCTACTGCTTTGTTAGTTCCAACTTCTGTTATTCGAACCAGTGAGATTTCGAAGGCCTATCAAAATTTTCAATAAAGTAATTTTCATTTTTTTTGGCTTCCTTACTTCATCACTGCTCTTGATATCCGGAAATATAACGTTTTGTATCCAATGAGAAAATGAGTTGAGATTACTGTAACGACAAGTACCAATGAGAGCACCATGTTTTCTGATTCTTAAGTATATATTCTCATTTTCAAGGTGTGATTTTTTCGAGACTTACTCCGTTTATCCGGATACAGATGATGGTGTGCATCAAAGAGAGTCAAACAATTTTGAGTTCTATCAAATATTATCAAAACCGTGCGTACACAGCTGATCAATATGAAAACGAGACGGCTTTCAGAACGAAATATAGGACTGAAAATGGTTTGACTTCAAATTTTCTGATAACACTAACTCACTTTCTAACAGCCAGCTTGATAAGTTTTGGAAGAGTATCTTTCATAGAACCGGTCGTTAGTTTAAAATCGACTTCTGAGAAGCTGAGTCCACATGCTTTGATGGCATCCGGCAAGTTATAATTCCGTGTAGCGTGGTCTCCAGCGTCTTTTGCATACGCCTCGTTTCCATCAATTATGCCGTTTATGAGGCAACCGACGATTCTTGGTGGACAGTTCTGAAATTCCATGTTTCAAAACTGTTCCTCAACATTTGTTCACCTCCAACTCCTTGAATTTATCCTGACCATTATGCTCTACCAAAACACCAGTTCTAGAATCTCTTTTCACTGTCATCTCTTGACCACCCGTAACACGTTTGCTTCTCAACTGGGGTGTAGGCATTTTTATGTCATGAATATGGATCAGTTCAGCTGTTTTAAGTGCGATCAAAGTGCACGCATTCGACAGTGTCGTCCTTCCACCTATTGATGACTGTGAGATATCTAGAGGAAATCGCCAGACAAGGGTAGACTAAAAGATTGGGTCATACTAAAAATTCATGTTCTCTTCTGTGATACCTCGTGTTCTATAAAAGTTGCCGGTTGGATATCATGGGGGAAAGCGATCTGATCTTGGAAAGATGCGGATCGAGACCGCCTTCGTAACATTAGTTAAAAAGTTCAATGGAAAAAACTATATTACAGGAAAGTGCTCATAAATTGTGATGATTGCTGTTTTTTACTATCTTGGCATCCAGCCATGCTGGCTCAGAGCGTGTCATTTGGTGAGATAAACTTGATTGAGAGTTCACGTAAATCTGCCACTTGTTTCCACGTTTTCATGCATTTTTACTCTCTTCTTCTTTTTCTACAGTAATCTTCTTCAGACTAGACTTTTCTTTTTTTTTCCTCGTATTAAAGAAAAATTATATTTATATATCGAACTGAGCCACTGCAATTTCGTCAGAGAATTCTTTCAATTTTTGTAGAATTATTTATTATTCACTTCGCCCAGCTTTCCCGTTCTTCTCATGAGACAGCAGTTCCTTCTTCATTTCAATGCATCAGATCAGGTTTTATTGTCTTGAAAACTTCGAAAAAAGTACTTCTAAAAAGTTTTTAGAAGCGCGAAAATTGGGAAATTTTATTATTCACTTTTCAGTTTTCACTGAAAAACAGTTGAAACAATCCCCTTGTGGGTTAATAAAAGTGCAATGCTTTGTTAATCACACTCCTTTTTTGAAAAATATGACCATTTCGTTTACCAGATCTAGTCTAATTAGTAGTTTCCCATAAGACACACTCGCCGCTACCTTTCTGTTTTTCTTCTCCATATCATTCGGTTTTCATTTCCTTCTTCTTCTTATTTCCTTCACTATTCTCTTACCTTCAATCTCAATAATACAATCTACAAGGTCAGTTTTCTTGATTAAATAGTTCTTAATATGGCGATAATCTAAATATGTGTTCACTGAAATTGAGGATGCATAATTCTTAAAAGTTCCCTACGGATTACGGTAGTTTTGAAACTTCTTTTCTAAATTAGGAACTTAAAGGGGGACTCCGACCAAAAATTTTTATTGCATTAAAATGTGTTAAAGGTTATCTATTTTCCGAATATTATTGCGAAAAAATTCAAACGAAATCCGAAATCCCCGAAAAACGCCGTTGAAAATGAAAAAAATTCAAAAAAGGTGCCGCCGGGGGACGAGGATTTGAATTCCCGCGCAGTGAGAAACCTAGGCCACGGCGCCTGACAAAAAGCAGGAAAAAATCCGGAAAGTTTGTACGGTAAGAAAGTCGCGCCGCTCGCGTGGCCTAGGGGTCTCACTGAAAATCCTCGTCCCTCGGCGGCACCTTTTTTTGAATTTTTTTTCCTTTTCAACGGCGTTTTTTGGGGATTTCGGATTTTTTTCGAATTTTTTCGCAATAATATTCTGAAAATAGATAAATTTTAACACATTTTGATGCAATAAAAAAATTGACCAGAGTCCCCCTTTAAGGAACTTGAGGGAATAATTAACAAATCAAACTGAACAAGAAGTGAGCATAACTTCTGAAATTGAATTTTCAGTCTAATTATGTTTTGAAGCGCCTAACCTTTCGGGAAGGTCCTTCCCGTGAATTGTAGTTGGATATTTTGGTGTTTAGCATTCTCTTTTCTTTTTTTCCTCTCTCATCGAATTAGCCACCGCCTTCTTGTTTGTGACATTACGCATTCTTCTTCTTCTTTTCATTTTCCTGTCGCCTCTTCACTAACCACATTCTTCTTTTTCTTCCCTCGGCGACCCTTTCCGAACATTTCAAAGAAGATGGAAGGCGCAGAGAAATTAGAGAAAAGCATCGTCGCTCCAATGCCAAATCAGCTGTTGTTTTCGAGTTGTTTTGCGGAAAAAGAGGCACAGTAGTGGTGACGAGGGATGGAGGCACAGCTCACTCAAGCAGCTCTATTCCCTTTTTCAGTCGTGTTCGTTACAGATTTAGTCTTCTCTTCTTCGTCTCATTTCTAGTTTAGAAACATTTATTGCAAACTAGAAATATAACTACGAATTTACAGCCGATGCTCGAAACATGCGATTGCCGATCATTCACATTTCGGTTCTGATGTCCCTGCTAGCCGTAGCAGCCGAGGAACAAAAAAATGACGAGGTGAGCTGCAGGGGTGAAAATGAAATGAAGTGCGGATCAAAAAGCACGGCGAGCGAGAAAACGAGAGAGGAAAAAGGGACATACACTGAGCACTACTGGGATTAACGAGGAGATAAGAGTCCTTTTTGGCGAGGGAGAAAGACAAGAATAGAAGAAGATATATCACAACGTCATATGAGTAATCCCTTGAAAAGCTTCCGTTATAGATGTATGTGTATGGATGTCTCTTTTGCATATCTCATTCTTTTCTACTTGGCTAATAATAGACACTAGCAGTCTTGTCGAATTTTTATTCCAAAAACTCAATGACATTTTTTGAATGTTTTCTATTTAAATTGGCCAATCGGAGTTGTCTTGTTTTTCTTGCTAATTAGGTTCGTCACAGCCTCCATGCGAGCCTGAGTTCTTTGGTCATTGTAAAAGTGTCTCATTCGTACGAATGCGTTTGTCTTCAAATTTTTCTTTCAGTTTTAATTAGAAATGAATCGAATGATTCATTGGACCTTCTTTTTGAAGAATCGAATGTTTTTCCTCTTTTTTGCACATTTTTCCATCTATTGTGTGGAGGCTGACGAAGTCGAGACGACGAAAACAATTAGAGTTCCTTCTTGAAAAGAAACCGAGCCAAAAGTCTTTGTTTTCCGCGTAGGTAGAAAAAAAACAATTTACTATGAGTAATTGACTTCAGATGAAAAATTAACTGAAAAATAGATGGGACCCTGTAATAGAAGGGCCCTTCAGAGGTACCTTGGAACAATAGAAGGACCGGCCCTTCTAATACAGGTTTTATGATATGTTGATGAATCATAATAAGAATGATTCGTGTTCATGATAATCAGTTCAAGATCCAATGATTTCAAAACCTAATCTGACATTTCTTTCAGAAAATGAAGATGGTTCTCCGTCAGAACAGTCTTTCTAAAGTGGAAATCTCATCACAGTCGAGGGAAGACTTCACCACTTACATGTCAACCTTCTGCTTAGCTGTAACTGAATGGGAACCATCATATTTCCTTCAAAGCTATATTCCATGGGAGCAAGTCGAGTTTCTGGACAGTCTCAAGGAATTGTAATACCTTCATATTCAATGATTAGACTATAATTTAGAAAAATTTCCAGTTTGGAACCATCAAATGACAAACGCATGGCTTCGTACTTCAACCATCTCGGCCACAACACTCCGAATAATTGCTCGATGAAGAATGAGAAAAAGATTCGAGACTCGCATAACGAAATCTCTCAGGAAACTTTGTTTGATAACTACATGTATGATCAGATGACACGACACGAATGGACGCCCCTTTATATGTAATAGACCATCATCGTTCCTAGTCACCTAGTTATTTCACCGATTTAATCGGATACCAACACAATGTGAACTTTTTATACTTGTAGACTTCTTTATTCGTGTAATTGTTTTTTGCTGTGCACTACCCGCTGCTTCCCAAACTTTCTTCTTTTCTTCACTTACGCGGTCAACTCCTTTATTCTTTTATACCTCTGTATCATGTTCTAACAATTGAAAAGTATCATAAAACGTTTTTTTTTTCTTTTCGCTTAATTCTATCGATTGAAACAAAACCTTATTGCAGAAGAATTCTTCATTAGAAATCCAGAGAAACTTTAAATAATCTGAAAATTTCGAACAAAAATGGTTTTCCTGAAAATATTTCCGAATGGAAATTGAAAAGTTATAATTTCAAGTGTATTTATGACTTGATCCCCAATTTATCAAAATCATGCTGAAACATATGTAGTCTACGTTACTACTTATAAGTTTCAATATTTGTTAAACAAATTTTCTAACAGTTCAACCACATTCATTATCAAAATGCGAATGGATTAAGCATCGAACAAGTCATAGCTAGATCCATCACCAATATAAGTGCCGTTTCCGGAAGCCGAAGTGTCAGTTCCAACTGAAGTGAAAATGGCACGGATGACGAGAGCATAAGAGACAGCCAGGAACATCACACCAGTTGGAAGAAGATCGATAACATGGCAGCGAAGAGCGAACAAGGCTGACGTGAATGGAATCTGAGAAAATGGTTCATATTAGGATTAGGCCTAGTTAACGATTAGAAATAGGCTTCTAGGATAATTCTCGCATTCGAGGTGTAATCCTAAGGGTCTACTTCTGAAAAAAATAAATTCTTCTCATCCTGAAATTTCACTTTTTTGTTATTACCGTAAAACCTGTATTAGAAGTGCCCCTGAAATTGAAGGGCCCCTCTAATTGAAGTGCCCCCCTAGACACCCCGCGAAAAATAGAAGTGCCCCCTCTAATTGAAGTGCCCCCCTCTATTTGAAGTGCCCCTTTTATTGTTGTGCGAAAAAGTTGGAATCGAGACGCAGACAGTTGAACAAAAAATTTCTCTGCGTCTCCACCGAGTATGTGCTATTTAGGCTTGTCGCTTCGAGTGCCTACCGTATTCAGACTGCAAATAATACTCTCTAACTCCAATTTTTTTGGACAACAATAATACAGTGGCCGTTGAAATCGAGAGTAATGAATTTTTCAACTTCAGAATATCGGAGGAAGACTCTTTTCATGATGTATCGGAGGAAGAATGTGAGGATATCAAAAAAACTGAGAACACAAGGAAAAGAAGACAGAATTTTACGATGGAATTCAAAAAACAAATTGTGGCTTTTGCAAACAAAACTTTGCTTATAACAAATAAAATTGTTGATGTTAAAAATTTTTTAAGTAAAAACAACAAAATTTTAACCAAAAGGCGATGTCCGTATAATAGAAGTGCCCTTCTCAGCGACCCGCGAAAAATAGAATTGCCCCCTCTAATTGAAGTGCCCCCCAGAGACCTCACGAAAAATAGAAGAGCCGGCACTTCTAATATAGGTTTTACGGTATATGATGACTGTACTTACTGTTTTGCGCATGATAAAAAAATTTAAATTTTTTACCAGAAACCACCTTTAACGGTGGGAAAGAGAATACTCACCATTTCGTAAAAGCTCGTCCGAAGTTGAAACGAAAAAAGGCAATGTGAAACTGGAAAATGGCTCTCTCCGGGCTTCGTCGCGCGCTGGAGCCTAGCAACTTTCTCTTTTCCTAGCAACTTATCCAAGCAACGATATAAAAATTTATTCGTTCTTTTACCAAAGAAAACATCTAAAAAAGAAGGACAAGCAAGACATCCCATCGAAAAAATACATTGAAAACAAAAAGTAAAAAGTTAGAAAAAAGAGGAGAATGGATACAACTTCTAGAGAACTACCGAATCCAGGTTCTTATTGACTGATTTGCTTGGCTCCTTGTTCAGCCAAAACTTGCTTGTGGAACTCTGCCATTCTACGTTCGAGTTCAGGTCGGAAGTGACGAATAAGACCCTGGAAAAAAACTTACATTAATAAAAACAGAGAATAAGAACTCACTTGAACAGGCCATGCAGCAGCATCTCCAAGAGCGCAAATTGTGTGACCTTCGATCTGCTTACTGAGCTCCCACATCATATCAATCTCAGATGGCTTCGCTTTTCCGTCGACAAAACGCCACATCATCTTGTTAAGCCAATTGCATCCTTCACGGCATGGTGTACATTGTCCGCAAGACTCATGCTTATAGAAGAGGGAAAGTCGAGCAATACATTTGACGATATCTGTTTGCTTGTTCATCACAATAACGGCGGCGGTTCCAAGACCAGATTGAGCAGCAACGAGGGCGTCGAAATCCATGAGAACGGTGTCACAGACGCTCCTAGAAAACAAATGCTAAATCAATTTCTGGTGTGCTAAATATGTTACTTTGGCATGAGTGGAACTGATGAACCTCCTGGAATAATAGCAAGAAGGTTGTCCCAACCTCCAATGACTCCTCCGCAATGACGTTCGATCAGATCTTTCAATGGGACAGACATTTCTTCTTCAACAGTGCATGGGTTGTTAACTTGACCAGAGATGCAGAAAAGCTGAAACATACACATTTGAGAACTCTTATTCTGATACTTATATAGCCAGTTTCTAAATAATTAGATCAGAATTTCTTTTTATATATCAAAAAGTCAATAATTACCTTGGTTCCACGATTTCTTTCGCGTCCAAAAGAAGCGAACCAATCACCTCCACGACGGCAGATAGTTGGTGCGACAGCGACAGTCTCGACGTTGGTGACAGTGGTTGGGCATCCGAACAATCCGATATCAGCTGGGAATGGAGGCTTCAGACGTGGCTTTCCTTGCTTTCCTTCGAGAGACTCAATCAAAGCAGTCTCCTCTCCACAAATGTAAGCTCCAGCACCACGATGAACGAATACATCAAAGTTGTATCCGGTACCAAGGCAATCTTTTCCAAGGTAACCAGCCTTGTAAGCCTCGTTGATAGCCTCTTGAAGAATGCATGCCTCGTTGTAAAACTCTCCACGAATGTAAATGTAGGCAGCACGAGCCCCCATTGCCACTCCTCCGATAAGGCATCCTTCAATAAGCTGCAAATAGAAAATGTTGATTGAAAACATTCAGTTGTTTTTTGTAAACCTTGTGTGGATCGTGGCGCATGATCTCTCGATCTTTGCAAGTTCCTGGTTCTCCTTCGTCAGCATTAACCACGAGATATTTCGGGCGACCATCGAAAGGCTTGTTCATGAAACCCCACTTCATTCCAGATGGGAAACCAGCACCTCCTCTTCCACGAAGACCCGAAGTTTTCAGTTCGCCAAGGATCCAGTCAGATCCTTTCAGAATAATTTCTTTGGTTTTATACCAGTCACCCTGTAAATAATAGCAACTAGATTTTGAAGTCTTCGAAAGATGACACTTACACGAGCTTGTGCTCCCTTCAAGCGATAATCATGTCTTCCGTAAAGATTAGTAAAAATACGGTCACTGTCCTTCAGATTTCCGAACGATGTTTTCTCTTGCTTCGCCGGGGTATTTGCATTTTGAGCCGACTTTACGACTCCACGAACGGCTACTTTCGGCACTGAAAATGAATAGAATGATTCATGAATAGAATGATTGAAAATGAATAGAATGATTCAAAATATGTTTAAAAATACCTTTCTGTCCAATTAACCTTGCCCCGAGAGATACTGCTGCCGAAGCCATCTCTGAAACACGGATTTTTAATAAATGAAGAATACATCGATGAAGACAAAGTCCAAGCCAGCACAGAACTATGTCACTCAAAAATAAACAAATATATGAAATTTTCTATAAATTACGTTATAAATTCAATTCATTCAAGGAACATGAGCAAAACATTAGTTTTTTCAGTTCAAAATCCAGAAAAATTAACAAAATTTGCTGAAACGCCGGCCGTAATTTCGGAGTGTCGTAATCAACTTTAAAGGCGCATGTATTTTACTAGCCCGCGTCTCAAAGCGATTTTCACACACGGGAAACAACTGCGACCGTATGATCAAACAAGAGGCCTGCGAATTTTAATGCTGGCCTACGGTTTTTTTCACGATTTTAGGTGTTTTTCCGAACGATTTTTCGGAAATCGATTTTCAGAAAAAAATCAGCTGAAAATTCTGCACATTTTACCCGAATTTTTCGTCGGAAAACTATTTGAGAACCAAATCGAATTTTTTTTCAAAGTTTGACCGTTTACCGTCTAATCTCCCGTATACATGTCACGAAGCGAAAATAGATCAACTAAAAGCTAAAATTCCAGGTAAAATGGTCAACGTGCCAAAAGCCAGAAGAACTTTCTGTGACGGCAAGTGCCGCAAGCACACCAACCATAAGGTTACCCAATACAAGAAGGGAAAGGAGTCCAAGTTCGCTCAAGGTATCGTTTTTGATTCAATTATGGTTTTGATGTAGTTTATAACTTCAGGACGTCGTCGTTACGACAGAAAGCAATCTGGATTCGGAGGACAAACCAAGCCAATCTTCAGAAAGAAGGCCAAGACCACCAAGAAAATCGTCTTGAGAATGGAGTGCACCGAGTGCAAGCACAAGAAGCAACTCCCAATCAAGAGGTTGGTTTTTTGTCAAATTTGAAGTCAGCTTTTCCGTTCTTGAAAATATCGCTTCACAAAGATATCGGAGGCTTCCATTTCGGTCGCTCGAAAACCGCCGACCGAATGGAAGGAATCCTTAATCGGTTAAAGTGAAATATCAATTGTAATTTCGATAACTCGAGAAACGATAAACTAAGCTGTGAAGTACTGATACATTGATTAATAACTGGTAAAAATACATCTAATGGGGTTATTCATGTAGCGAAAATATGTATTGAATGCATTTCCGCGCCCTCGAAATTCAATGCATGAGCGTTGCGAAGCGTATTTCAAAGCATTTCGCGACATAACTGTAAATGCATTGAAATACATCGCGTGGCGGGATATTTTTTCTGGAAAAAGGATGCG